CGGATCGTCCACTTTGAGCCTATATATCTCATTTCTTTTGAAAGATATCAAAAAGTGGTTAACTAGTAAAATGTTTATAAGGATATCAGCAACATTTTACTAGTTAGTGACTTTTTGATACCTTTCACAGTAAATGAGATATATAGGCTCAAAGTGGACGAACCGGGTGTCGTTCTATTAGAGGTTTTACGGTATCTTCCACAAGAACCGAGATAAACTTGGGGAAAGTTAAAATCTGGGGTGAGAGGTTAATTCTTTTAAACTGTACAACATGGTTTTACATAATGAGCTATTTTTCAAAGAAAATCATAAATATGCGTAAAATCTAATTATCAAAAATTTATTAATTGCTGAAAAAAATGGTTCAAAAAAATTCGAAGAACCACTTAACGGAAATTATCAATATTTTCGTAAAGTTTTAATTTTTCGAACTCCCATTTTGATTTCCTGAAATGTTATTCCAATCCCAGCCATTTTTTCTGTTTTTTCCAATCTGTAGTTCCAGGATGCCGGAAAAACAAAACATTTCAACCCTCCGCGTTGGCGACACGTTGGTGACCGGAATCGTCGTCGTCAAGGGGATAAGAATTCCCGTTCATTTGCTTCTGACTATTATTTCTGAGGAAAAACAAGTCTGATAAATGTTTGTTTTGTTTGAACAAGTCTATACACACCTTTTCATTGTTAAATGATATTTGCTATTCAATAAGAAAGACTGGACATAGAACTCATTTGAAGGTTTCACTCATATTAATTTTTTAAAATGTTTCCTGTTTTCACTTTATCTTGTCAGACCCCAAAAACAATATTACTCTTTTTGAACGTTCATTTTGTGTATATCTTCTCTTTTTGAGACTTTCTTCTTCTTTTATCCCTTGCTTCTGCTTTTTCTTTCTCTTCTCTATCCCCTCCTTTTTGAATTTTAGTGTATGCGTGCTGTGTGTAAAAAAAGAAGAGTAAAGCATAAAAAGAAAAAGAAAGGTGGGTCCTTTTTTGTGGGAAAAGAAAAGGACAAAGAAAGAGGTCGTCATCGCAACATGGAAACATACGAAAAAGAAGAAAAAACGAGCAGAAACCAAATTGGTCCAAAATTTTTTTTGCAAGGGGACAAAAAAAAAGGAAATGAAGAGTTCAGTTTTTTTTCTAGGTGAGTTCAGGTGCAATTATTATTATTATTTCTCTTTTTTTTCTCTCCATTTTCGAGAAAAAAGTCTGACGTCAGGTGAGATGACAGGTGAAGTGAGAGATAGGCCTGAATTAGGAGAGAAGTAACACTTGAGTGTGTCATGAATTTTTAGAGAATCTAGATTTTAAAAAAAATTGAATCACTCATCTTTAAAATACATATTTTCCCGTAAATTTTGACTATTTTCCGCAAAATTGCCAAAATCGTTGAAGGCCTAGCCGGGCTCGGAAGGCCCGCAAGGAACTAATAGGAATTTTTTGAAACTTTGGGAGTGTGTGAATCAGACTTAGATTGACATCTTTGCATTGACAGAATTAGAAAATTCCTAGTTTTTCAGATATTTACCGATTTCTGAAACACGTTTTTTTAAACATTTTCAGCACAACGGGACTTCTGAAAACGGAAAATAAGTTTTTGTATATCTTATTGTGAAAACCATAGAATCTGCATTAATCTATCAAATTGTTAGTTCTGATCCATTTTATTTTAGCTCATTGAAAAGCTAATAAAAATCAATACACTCACAGATTATGGTTAATTGAATGAACAAAATTCTTTCCATGGACCGCTGTATGACGCCTTTCTCAAAAACCGAGGTGAACTAGGTTAAAATTGAGAACGTGGGAAATAGAAATGAAAACGTAAAATTGCAGATGATTAATAACAAAATACTATTTTTTTTGAACAGTCCAGAAAAATTTGGATTCTTTGAAAATGTTTCGGTTTTTCCGAAACTCCTTTTCATTTTTTTTTCACTTTCAAAATTGTTCAAAATCCTGAAAAAATCATCCAAATGTATTTCTGACACTCCACACAAATTTCACAATCTATTTTAATGAAATGAAAAGTCCGGATACCTGAAAATCTCTTTCTTTTGAAAAAATAACCAGGGCTCTTTTCCTCCGACACCGGAAATATATTGGCCTACTTTACTTCCGGTCACTCGGAGTCTCCTTATGGACGGCAGCCAGTTTTTAATAGTGTGCGGTCAAGGAGAAGAGAGAAAAAGATAGAGGGAAGACAGCTGGCACTGACTTGGAGAGGTTACTCGTATCGTTTTACACTTTTTCATGGAAAGGTCAAGAAAATGTTTTTACGAATTCTTATTGAACTATTTCTTTAAAAATTGAAAATGTCAAAAAATCAAAACTATACTGAAATCCTTTTAAATGTTCTCTGCACTTTGTAATTCCTCGAGATTCTCTGAAACAAATGCCATCAAATTCTTTTTAGAGGCACTTGTTTCGCTTATTCGTGTTGCCGGGAAACCGGCTCGAGTTCTTTTTGCATTTCTCTATTCTCTTTCCGCCAGCGTCGTTTTTCCACATTTTTCCATTTACGTTTGAGCCGCCGAGTGTCCCCCACTAAATTCATTTTCCCTCCGTCGTCACAATTTCTTGTGATTTTGTTTAAATTGTTATGAATTTTATTTTTTGATTTTCAAAAGGAAGAAGAAAATTGAGAATATCTTTCTTAATTTCTTGTTTTTATTTCTTACCGTCAAACCTGTAATAAAGATCGCCCCACACACTACCAAGTTTGAGTTTGATTATCTCAACCCTTATGCATGGTATGAAAAATGTGTCAACTGATAAAATGCTGGTGATATTATGATAAACAATTTATCAGTTAACAACTCTTTCATATCTTCGATAGGAATCAAAATAAACTGGCTCAAAGTTGATAGTTAAGGGATCCTTCCATCACAGGTTTAATGATGTACACTATTTGTATGTTTTCCTCAAAGCAAAAAATTTTCATTTCAGATTTTCTATATGTCACCGGTGATATTATGATTATTAATGGGTTGCAAGATTTCTACAGAATTTTGTGCGGAACATCCAGTCACCTCTGCAAACAAAGTGCATCCATCTGAGGTGAGAAAGGAAATGCATAACTTTGTATTGGCGCTACATAATGATTCTCATCCGTTTTCAAAAGTTTTTCAAAAAGTGTCAGATCGATGTCCTTCTGGAATTGACATGATTCGGTTTTATTAGGTTGTTCAATAAATAGTGGTCACTTTCACTTCGCTCTACCGCTGCTTATCCAATTTTGGACTTTTTCCAATTCTGTTTTTATATTTATAGACGTCACACAGTGCATGTTTAATAGACATTAAAAAATTCCGCATAGACTGTACAACGGCCGAGGATTCCCTCGATAACCGCCACTTACTCAAAAGTGTGTTTTTGTTCATGTTTCTCCAGGACCTCTAGAGCAAAAGACATTGGCGAACAAAGTGCAAAGTGTTAGGCGCAGACACCATCCCTCGAATCATCATTAAGTTTTGGTTCAAAAGATCCTAAGAAATAAATTATGATCTGGGGTTTAAACCAATATCGAAATGACTTAGTCTCAGTATCGATGACGATATTTCGAGGTTACTGGGGGAAGAGCCTCGGCTATTTCACGTGCAGTATCTTTGACAGTCCACCATCCTAATACCACCGTACAAAATAATGCTTATCAAACGGGAAGATCTCAGAGAGTCAGTCAAATCGTTCCACGCATTTTGACGGATTTTCAGAAAAAGGTACGATGTGACCTATCACTTTCACTATTCACCAGGGAACCGACAGAGGACTGTATCAACGAGTTAACCACTGGAGATGAGAAACGAGTACTTTATGGCAACCATGACAGTAAGCACCAATGGCTCCCTGTAAAAGGAACGGCGGAATTGGACTCAAAAGGGAATCTTCTAGAAAAAGTCCGATTTTGTTGATTTGGGTAGACAGTGCTGGGGTAATATCCCACAAGCTGCTTCCGGAGTCCGACATCATCTACTCTGACTCTACTGCTTTCAAATGGAAAGTGGGATTTAAGCTCCTCGTTCTCATCTCCAGAAAGGCTCGCTGTTTAAAACTTTGCATGACAACGAAAAACCACACAAATCTTTAAAGAGCCGTAACAAACACCATCCTCTAGGAATTCTGATTTTTCCAAACTGTCTTTCTGGAATTAAATTTCATGAACGAAAGAATGTCTAGAAATTTTTGAATTACTTTTTCGGCGCAAAGTCTGCAGAGTTCTACGCAAATGAAATTGCCTAATTACCATTGTGCTGGCAAGAAGTTATAAACTCCAATGGCAAATAAATTTATCAATGATTCTTGTTTTCCTTGAAAAAAAAACTACTCGAAGAAAAGTGACCCACTACTTATTGAACAACCTAATACGTTCTTGAGAAAAAAATTTGGGAGGCGTGGCTTCCTATCGAAACATATCTTTATAAAAAGGAGGTACTTCCTATAAACAAACCTTTTCTTTTTGAGTATGCTTCTTTTTTTCGTTTTCTTTCTTTTTGGCGCGCATCATATTTGAAGGTTCCATCTTTAGAGGTTGGTGGAAATTGGTATTATCAGAAAACTGACAATATTTTGCACAGTAGAATAGTGAAATTTTCCGCTGCAAATTCGATATATCGCCATTTGCACATTAAGATCGATTATCTCAATTTCTGTAACAGATACTAAAAATGTTTGGTTTGCGAAACTGTTAATGATATTGTGATAAAAATGTATCAATTGACAAATTATTTTTATATTTTATAGAAACTGAGATAAATGAGTTTAGCGAAAAGTCACTATTAGCATTTGAGTTACAATTTTTACGGTTTTTCAAAATCTATGCTGCCTTCTTATATTTGTTTGAAAGTAAGTTTTATCAAGAAATGTCGTTGATGTGAGACTGAAAAAAAATTCCGAAAAATAAAGAAGCGAGTGTTCCGATATCTCCCAGTTTCATTTGGACTAGAGATGAAGCCATAGAAAACCTTTCCGGGAAATTATGCAAAGATTTTTTTCCGTTTTTCAAGCTTTCATATCTGACCAAAAAATATAATTTCTGAAAAAAATATAATTTTCATTTTTCAGAAAAATATAACGGTTTCTCAAAAATTAAGACTGAGCAAGTTTATCCCTGAAACATTTTTATCATTTTTCATACATTTTGTTTTCTCAAAATTTTTTCTATGATGTCATAAATTCTGATTCGCTTTTCAGCTGAAAAATTATTTTTCTCTTTCTACGCGCCGAATTTATTACACTTCATTTTTTCCACTTTTTCTTAACTAAAAATTTGTAGCTTTTATATGAATACGTTGTTTCCAGCTGGCTTATTTTCACATATCTTTTTTTTTGTGCTCTTCATTTTTGTGTCCAAATTTCTGTGTGTGCTTCAAAATCTCAAAAAAGCAGACAAAAAAGAAAAACGAACACGACATTCCTCTCGTCAGTCTCTCCTCTTTCTTATCACTCTCTTTTTCTTATGTTGGCTTTTTCTCTTTTTTTTTCTTTTTTTTTCAGAATAAGTGAAAATTAGATATTGTGTTTCCTTGCGTTTTCTTGATTTTTCCGATCTTTCTGAAAAGTGTTTTAACTTGAAATGGATAATTTTTTAAAATACTTGAACCTAAGAAATCTTGAAGTACTTATAATTATCAAAAAATGATTCTCCCATCACAGCCTCCCTGCTTTTTCAGATTGTTGTTAAAATCATTGGGTTCAGTACCACTCTTTGTATTGATAAAGCCACTCCGGAAATCGAAAGAATACGTCAAAATAATGTAGAATATCTATTTTTTATCACATCCTCTCTCTCTCTCTATTTTTTACATTTTCTACTTCTGAATTTCAGCTCGCTACTACATCTCCTCCTATCAAAACAGTAGAGTTCATCAATCCGGACTTGCTTGTGGACGACAAACCATTATTCCAAAAAGTCCCTGTTATAACAAAGGAGCCAAAAGAGAAAATAGAAAAAGTGGTTACTCGACGTGTTTCATTGCAGGCTGAACCGAAAAAAGTCAGTTTTTTTCTTTTTGATTGAAAAGTTCGTTCTCAGGACATTTCCAAGAAGCATTATAAGAAATGGTCAATCTTTATTTTTTCAGAATTTGCCTCTCCCGCTTACTAGGTCTTCGTCGTTGAGCTCGATTATGGAGAACCGACCCCCGAGTGGGATTTCAAAGTTAGCTTGTTTAAATAAAAAAATATATGTAAATACATACAGTACCGGTCAATAAGATATACAAAAATGTGTTTTTTCAGTAGATTTTTGGCCATTTTCCCTATTTGCTCTGGATCTCGGCTATTTGCGATCACTTTGAAAATTACAGAAAGTGTAAAACATACCTAAATTGAAAACTATGCATTTACTGAACTTTTTGGAAAATTCATAGTTTTTCAGTTTTTTGCCGATTTCTAATTTTGAAGAGTGTAACTCTTCAAAATTTTTCAAGTGATTGAAAACTTGGCAACCGAGCTTAAAACTCCTGAAAATGGTCGAAACTGCCAAAAATTAACTGAAAAAGTACGTTATTCCTACGGCTGGTACGGTATATGTTTTTGGATATTCCAAAATTCGAAATTTTCAGTTCCTCTTACACTCGGCTTCAAAGACCAAAGAACAGCGCACTAAGACGTTTCACCATTGACACGTCTCGCGCCAAATCCAACCAGTTTGTCGTTTCTTTATGTTCGAAGAAAATAGGTATAATTGAATATCCGGAAGGTCGACCGGATAAACAACCATGCGATGTTTACTGGCACAATGTGGTACTTTCGGATATGAACAAAATTGTCACCTCGCCACACTCGAGAGTGAACAAGTTTCCAGGTTTTATTCCTTTTTGAGAATGGTTAAAAAATTAGGGGTTTTGTTTTTTAGGAATGACAGAACTGGCCAAAAAGATCTCGCTGACTCATGCGATTGCTTCTATGCAAAAGCTGTTTCCGGATGAGTACGCATTCTATCCAAAATCCTGGTTCCTTCCAGCACATCTCAACGATTTTCATGTAAACACATTTTACAGCTTCAATCAAAAACAATAAAGTTCTCAGGCATATTTCCGTAAGGCGCAAGCAATGGGTAAAACTGAAATGTGGTTCATTGTAAAACCAGATGAAGGAGCACAAGGTACTGGTATTTATTTGATAAGCAACCCAAGCCAAATTCGGGATACGGAGCAGCAACAATTGGTTCAGGTTTGTCTGAATTATCTGGGAAAGTTCAAAGTTTCTGAAATTTTCAAATTTTCGAAATTTCTGTGATTCGGAATATTTAAAGTTCAATGAATTTTTTTTTAATTTTTTAAAATTCCTGAAAGTTGGGATGTTTTAAATTTTATGAAATTCGGGATTTTTATGAATTTTCTGAAGTTAACAACTGTAAATTTCAGGAATATGTGGCAAATCCAATGTTGATGGGTGATAAGTTAAAATTTGATTTTCGTGTCTATGGAGTCATTAAGAGCATTAATCCTCTATCGATTTATGTGGCTAGAGAAGGTATGTGGCTAGAGAAGCAGCTTTTTATTTTCACATTTTGACAAATATTTCGGCTCTTTCAGGAATGGCTCGATTCTGTACCGAGAAATATGAAAAGCCCGACTCGTCAAACTTCAAAAATCTGTACGCTCATCTCACGAATTATTCACTGAACAAGTCAAACGAGTCGTACGTGCATAGCAACACTCTTCAGGATCAGACCAAAGGTGGGTGAGGTGGAAGGAAGAAAGGATTATAATGGAGAATATTAGAAAAAAGATTGGGAATAGAACCGAGATTATGTTTATCATAATATCACCAATATTTTCTCTGTTAACAAAATTTATATGAACCGAGATAATTAGGTTTGAAATGCACGTGGAGTGTGGTTCTATTTGAGCGTGTTCCGTCAAGTGGATAATTTTGACTTTATTGCTACTGAACAATAAAATTTAAAGATCAGTATGAAAATTCTAGATTTTTAAGTGTTCAAAACTTTTAAAATTCACAACTTCCTAGTTTCCCTAATTCCAGGTAGCAAACGGCTTCTCTCAACGGTTTTCCACCAATTGGAGTCTCGAGGTGTCAAAACAAAACGACTATGGCATGACATCAAGTTGATCTTGGTGAAGACCACACTCGCCATGCTACCTGAAATTATGCTTCACTACGAACATCACTTCCATGACTCACCTGGTCCTCAGTGTTTTCAGGTATTATTTTCAGTGTTTTTTTTTTGAAAATTAAAAACAATTCAAATTTCAGATAATGGGATTCGACGTGATGATCAAAGACGACGGAACGCCAATTTTATTGGAAGTGAATGCGGCTCCGTCTCTCACTGCTGACCATATCGTACCGTGTCCAGGACGATCGTTAACAGAAGGAGGACAAAGAGTTAGGAGTATTGTGGATGAGGTGATTAAAAATGATTACTTCATCCTTATTTTATGTTTTTTAGGTCATCAAACTCCCACTGGTCCGGGACACTCTTTTACTTGTGTTAGGACTAATGGATGAGGAATACCAAACCACTAATAGTTTGAAAGGAGAAATAAAGTCTCTCGATGACTTCCAAGCTACGAAACAACGGCGTAAGCCTCATTTGAGCGAGGTAATTTTTGAAAACATTTTATTGATCTAAATTTAAAAGTTCAGATCTTCCCAACACGCTACGGTGCACACAGTGGCCATTTGCTATTTCTGGACAAGGCCATGTACATTTACATGCAATTTGTGCAACTACGTAACAATGTAAATATCACTGGTGCCGGATTGAAGCAATTTGTGAGGTAGAAAGAGAAATAACACATTTTTTGCTAGTTTTTTGGTGTTTTAGGAAGTGCAATCTAGCAGATATTATTCCGATTGTGCAAGTGGACGCGAAGGTTGCAGAGATCAGCTATTATTTCACTGGGGATCGGAAAACCAGTGCAAATGGTGAGGAATGCATTTCTAGAAGTTTTTAGTTACTAGAGGGGTGTTTCTGGAAATAAAGAGAGGTCCTATGACAACGTATTAGAAGCAACACTTGAAGAAGATGTCAAAAAAAATAAGTTTCCAGGGCTACCTTTCCACGCCTTCCTGATGTTCCTATTCTTCATTGCTGAGAAGAAGTTCAGTTTGGAATCTGATCTGTTATCCAAAGTTCAAAGACTTCTTTCTTTTTGTGATATGAGTCTACGTCATTATGGAGTACGATCTGCAAGGCTGAGGCGCGCTGAAGTTGATTCGAATGTTGGGTAAGTTCTAAAGCTCTGAATGACGAAACTTTGTTTTAACGGTTTGATTGCAGAAGCGTCGAAATTTACATGTTACCTTCGAGAATGGCTCGGAGCCGGTCAACTAGATATGGAAGAAAGGTAACAACATTTTTTACGCTAATTTAATTTAATTTCAAATTGTTAGGAAAATGGTATGGACTCTAACAACAATTCTAACAGCTTCAGTCACTTGCCACGGATATCGGAGCGCTTTCAACTGTAATAGGCTACTCTTTTTTCCTATTGTACATGTTTCCAAATGCGAAGTTATTTTTCAAAAGATGCCAAACTATATTTATTTTAATTATCTCATTCAAAATAACACTAGAATGAATTGAGTGAAGTGAAAAGAATTTTCTCAGGGAATTGAGAATAAAAAACTAACGTCAACATTTGTCTTCAGAGGTTGAAAAAATTTATTAGGATTCAAAACACACAACACTCTCAAAATGGAATGGCAGAGCAACCTATTATCAGAAAAATGTTTTTTTGGAAGCGTAGTTATTAGTTTGAGAAACAGTTTGAGAAAATATTCATTGGAAATTACTCAGACTTGGAAAATCATGGCTCGTCCCGGCGGAACCGGATTTCTCGGTTTTTTTTCCAGATATGACTCCGCGCATATTTGTAAAAGAATCAGCAATTCAAAAAACTACTTAAAAACAGTAAAGATTACTGGGTGTTACACCAAAAATTGAATACCGCAAAACATTTAGTAGAAGGGCCGCATGTTGTCAAACTTGAGAAAATTTTTCTCATGTCCGTTTCTATGCGAAATATGAATAATGGGGTTTAAATAATAAACGGGAATTTTAAAGTTTGAATGGGTTTTGAGAATTAAGGTGAATTATTATTATACGGGGGTTTTCAAAAAGTGTCAGGACCATGTTTGGGGAAGTCCCCAAAATGTTCCAAAGCGCTGCATTTTCTTGTTTTTTTTGCTTATTTCAGTTGATTTATTCGTTTTTCAAATAAATGATTTCCTTTTTCTGCCTTCTTTCATGTTTTTAAAGTTTTTTAAACATTTCAACGTTTTCTGATAAGAAGAGACACATCTATCTCTACGTGTCTTCGTATGCTCTTTTACACTTTTTTGTCCTCTATCTTCTCCCTCTTTTCTTTTCCACTTTTTACCCCATTGTTTATATCGTGCGGTCTGATGGAAGTTGCATGTCTCCACTTTCACTGAAATCTAATTTTTATTATTATTCTCGTGAATGTATATAAATTATTAACACAGTAATTAAAAATCGGTTTCTAATCGTCATAATCATTGTATTCATCACTTTCTTTGGTTTCGCGTTCGTCTTCCTCTGCTTCATAGGAGAACTCTGTTCTTAATCCCGAATACCTTTGAACATCGCACTGCTCCACAACAACGTGTCCCACAATTTGCTTTTTTCTTCTAATCCTATCATGTCATACGCCTTAGTTTCAGCTGATTTCCATCAACTTTGAAAGTCTCCATACCGCGGACATTCCGATAACTAGAAACTTTCAGCGCCCCTGGAACAGTAGTATTCAGCATTGAACTTCAAAAAACAGGCTTTGAAGTTCGGTATAACATTTTCCTTGTGGTTATTTTTTGTTTCAGATGTGGATCAACCGGTTCTGGAGGATTAATAACGATCATCGAATGAACTTCGCAAACGCGCAATCCATGCAAATTGTGGGGCACGTCGTTGTGGAGCAGTGCGATGTTCAAAGGTATTCGGGATTAAGAACAGAGTTCTCCCATGAAGCAGAGGAAGATGAACGCGAAACCAAAGAAAGTGATGAATACAATGATTATGACGATTAGAAACCGATTTTTAATTATTGTGTTAATACTTTATATACATTTATGAGAATAATTAAAAAAATTAGATTTCAAATTGTGAAAGTGAAGACATGCAAATTCCATCAGACGGAGAAGATAGAGTGCACTGAAGTGTAAAAGAGCATACGAAAACACGTAGCTTGTATCTCTTCTTACCAAAAAACGTTGAAATGTTTAAAAAAAACTTTCAAAGCATGAAAGAAGACAGAAAAAGAAAAAAGTGATTTTAAAAACGAATAAATCAACTGAAATAAGCAAAAAACAAGAAAATTTAGCACTTCGGAACATTTTGGGGATTTCCCCAAACATCGTCCTGACACTTTTTGAAAACCCCCGTCTAATATTTAAACCCCCGTTAATTCTCAACACCCCTTCAAATTTTCAAAACCCCTGTCTAAAATTGAAACCCCCTGTCATATATTTAAACCCCCTTTAAACCATATAGAGCCCATTTTACCAGTTGACCACTTTTGTAAATCTTTGACAGGAAACGACATGAAGCAGTTAAAAGTTCAAAAATAGGGGATCCTTCGAGTTTCACGGTATATCAACAATTCCGACAAAAACATTTTCAGTGAAAATAGACATTATTACAAAAATTGAAAAAAAGCGCGCATTTCTCTCATAATTTAAAACATAAGTTAATTTCATTTTTGCTCATTTGATTTTTTTTCTGCACGAATTCATCAAGAACTTCCCTAATCAAAATGTTTTCAACTTCCACGTGAATGAATTATCAAAATTAACATCTAGTCAAAATTTTGGCATCTTCCACATGAGTTAACCATCAAAGTTGAAGTTCAAAGCTCATTATAGCCGATTGGCTCTGTTTTCTAATTTTTGTGAAAAGTAAATTTTGAAAAAAAAATTTCTATGCTGTGTTCTTAGAAGACTTTGTGTGCTTTTTTATTGAAGGATTAATTCAATTTTTCAAAAGTATCCCGAGAGTTGTACTCCAGCTGAAACGCGATACTTCTTTATTTTAACGAGACTGACCAACTACTTCGTTTCGAGTGGTAGGGCAGACGAATGAGTAATTTGGAATAAACGGTCGAAATTTTATTTCAAAATTTTAAGGATATACATACATAGTCCTTTTTCCTGAATTGGAAACTCTCAGATCTCTAAATACTTTCTATAATCCAAAGTTTTATGGTGGGAATCAGAACTCTAAATGTTTTTCCCATACACTCGAATTTATTGCTCTTTGTTCGAGTCTAGACAAGAAAACAGATCATGGAGACTTTAGAAAATCCGTTTTTGCGAATGGCCAACCACATAATGCGTACACACTCAGTCCCCTCAAAAAAAGAAGATGTGCGATAAAACTCAATACGCTTTTTGATGGAGATCCGTTATTTTCGATTTTTTTCTGAGTATCTTTCTCCGCTTCTAACTTTTTGACACTTTCTTGAAAACTAAAATCTACCTTAAAATTGATATAAACAGTTTTTAATTGTTATTGAGATCTGTCAGACCATAAAAACTAATAGCAGACCGAATTTGGTCTGACAGATTTTTCCTCTGGTAAAAAATTATTAATTATGAAAATTTTTTAATTATAAAATTATTTATAAATGTATTAATTATAATTTTTTTCTTTTTTGTATTTGTTCTTTGTACAATTAACAATTTTCATCTCAGATAGTCTATTGGTTTTTTAGAAAGCTTTCGAAGAGAAAAAACTTTCTCAAAAACAACCAAAACCTTCTGAGTAGGAAGTCGTTTCCGTCATTCTTCACTTTCCCAGATGGAAAAAGTCCAACATTCCCAAACTTTTTTTTCTTATCTGAAAAAAAGGGAAAACGCATAAATCATACTTCGCCCCATTTGGTCCATCTTCTTCCTTTTTCCCACATTTTTTCTTGCAGCTTTTTTCGTGAACAGGGACCATAAGAATCGTCAAGTGCATTCATCCTCTTCTTCATTTCCTCTTCTTGTTTCTCCTCTTCTAGTCAGTCAAGTTATGTTCTTTTTTGGAAGTCTTTTTGGAATTGAGATCTTCGTTTACCGAGAACACATTCATTTTTAATGAAGGTGCTCTTTCAAACGCTTCAAAGTCATCACCCCTCTTTGATGAGAAATAATAATTTGAAGGGGGACACTCACTGAGCAAAAACTGTTTGCTCTATTTTTAGCTCCCAAAAAAGTGTGTACAATTTTTTTTCTCGTATCCGGATAACTAGATCAGATTGCGTGCCAAACTTTATCAAACAAGTTGGCAACTTTCGTCTTTCTGAATACTCTCAATCAAACATCATGATTTCGAAAAAGACATGTTTCATTTACGGGGGGAATCAAATTTTTTTCTTCTCTGACTCTCATGGGAAACAAAATTGAATATGGAGACTCGGAAATTTTTGCCAAGAAGATTTTCCCATTCTAGGCAATAGAGTGTTCAGAGATTAAGTCTCGTTTCTTCAGACGTTCCATGAATTTTTTTGTGAGCACACATCTTTTCAGGATTTGCTATTTTTGGGGATTTTCTTGGAACTCCTTTTTTGAAGAAGTGATAATTTTCATTTGCTATTTGCAATACTTTGAAGCAAAATTCGTTTTGGAATCATTTTTCCAGTGGTTTTGTGGCTCAAGGAAAACCTCAATATATTGTAAATCCGGATTTTGATGAAGATTTCAAGATAACTTAAAAATAGCCTATCTAGACAGTTCGGAGATGTTTTGAAGCCGCTGACCAGTTTCAGCCCAGTTTCCTTAAACACTTTAATAGGACGCCACACCAAACTTTTAACTTTGAGCCAATTTATCTCGATTTCTGTGAGAGATTTCTAAAAGGGATCAACTGACAAAATATTTGTGATATTACGATATACATTTTGTTAGTTGTTAACTTTTTTATATCTTTTGAAGGAAAGAGATATACGGGCTCAAAGTTGGCGACTATGGGGTCGTTCTATTAGCGATTTTCAAAGGCGCTTTTCTCAACTTCTATGTTTCAGAACATTACATTTGCTGGGTTATACTTAAAATCAAATAAAATGTCAAATTCAAGGTATTTTCTAAAAAAATTATTTTTATCTTTTCACGATTCCAGATTCATTAAAAAATTGGAAATAACATTTCCGAGAATATTTCTGAAATATTAAAATTTTATCCAACTTTGAGTGTAACGCAGTTAATTTCCTGTTCTGAAACGTCCTAGAAGTTAAACAAAATTAGTTTTGAGAATGCAGTTTTGCATTGAAAAGGCGAATTTTGATGCTTCAACTTCTTGAATTTTCACTGTTCTATCAATTTTCAATGATTTTCGACTTCCATTCGTATGTTTTTCCCCAAGGTGAGGTCTAATCTCAATTCCAAGCAAATCTTCCTAATCTAATCCTTGCCATATCTTAAAAATAATAGAGACTCTCTGACAATTCTGACTCATATGTATGTGTTAATTTCCAAAACACCATTTCGGCGTGTTTGCCCTTCTGCGGATCCAAACTGCACAACAATACTAATTACGTCACTGTGGAGTCTTGAGAAAAAAGGGAGGAGGCGAAGGAAATCCTTCAAAACATAAAGAAATAAGATGGGTGGCAATTTTACAAATTTTCTTCATCTCGAATTTCCTTGAAATTTTGGAACTACATATGAAGAGAGAACATGTTCAATTTGGCGAGGTCACTTTCTTAAGAATAAAAAATTTCCGAATTTGAACTTTTGTTTTTTTTTCCAGCTGTCTCTATTGCCCCACTAAATCAGAAAATCAAATCAAGTCAAGAAAAAAAATTAATTGACCCGCAGGTGTTGTTAGTTCTAAATTTATGTGTGATCTGGACAATTTCATCAGTGGATTTTTCATCTAAAAATTGAAGAAAAAGAAGCTTAGTAGAAGTGATCTATGGAGTGAGCTGTCCTTAGATTTAGCATTTCAAAATCGAATTTGGTCGATGAAAGTTAGAAAATTTTCAGTTTTCATAGATCAGGAAGATAAGAATGAATTTTTATGTTGGAAAATCAAAATTTCTAAAATATGTTAGGAATACACTTTTAATGAGCTTTACGGTATAAATTCTAAATTACTGTTCTTCAAACCATCAACTTTGAGCTCATATATCTCGTCTTCTGAGGAAGATATCAAAAAGTGGTCAATTGACAAAATGCTCATCATAATATCATTAACATTTTATCAGTTGACATAACCTTGATATCTCTCATAAGAACCGAGATGAATTGGCTCAAAGTTAGAAAAGCGGTCATTCTGTTATATAAAATATACATTTTTGCTTTTTTAATGTCTCAATGGATTTCGAAGTTCTCGAAAATTGTAAACTTCAGAAAAGGTCCTCTAAAGTTTAAAGTCCAAGATATAGGACAATTTTTTCTCCCACACAACCACGAATTTCATCTCCTCGTGTTATTTTCATCCAACCTCTCCTTTTTTTCTTATTTTATCTCTCATTTTTTCTTGAGGCATACATACAGACCACAAATCTTGAATCCATGGTGACCGGCAGTGATTCTCTCACACCCACTGACACTCGCTTTTTTCTTATCTTCCCTTTTTTTTGTCGATTTTTTTGCCTGTTGCTAATTTTGGTCTCAAACATGTTCAAAAATCGGGCTGATAGTAGATTTGAAATATATTCTGAAACTTCAAAATTAGTTAGAGGAAATTCAAAAGTCAGAAGACCAATTTCTTGAATCAAAATCAGAAATCCCAACTTTGGAAAATTGAGGATGCCAACGTTACACATACTAATCCCGTTATTCTAATTCACTTCCAATACAGCTCATCTGTTCAATGACCAATTTTGAATGGATAGGAATTTCCAGAAAATGATATCAGCCGCTAATTTTTTTGTATGATCTTTGCTAGAAAACAGATTTTCAAAAGGAAATAGGATTTTTTCCGTTTTCTGAATTTTTGGCTGTGACGTCTCACACAGAGAAAAATTTGCAACATTCTTTGCTCTGTATCTTCTTTTCAAATTCTCTTCACTTCCTGGCGGCATCTTCTCAAAAGATGGCAGGTG